GGCTGGGGGTGGTGAAGGGGTGAACGGGGGAAGCTGTGAAGACCTGACCTTTTGAGTTTTTTTGCAGTCTAAAGAAAGGATTATGACATTAAGCTTGCTGGAGAAACATGAAGTGTAACGTAAGAGGTGGTGAAAACGATGCCACTGGGGAGTTCACAGCAGGCAGAGCCCCCGCTGCCATGGAGCACCTTGGCTTTGGGAGGCTAAAATCAGACACGAGTGGGTAATTGTGATCTTTTTTTTTTTTTTTAAGCCTGCCCCCTCTTTCGAGGTCGCTGCCGCCAGCAAAAAGAGAGCACGGCCTCTCAGTACCCGTAAACTTTATTAAATGTGTGCTTTTTCATTCTTCAATTAAATTTCAATCAGCCTGGTTCGTACTGAAATAGCACCAAAGGGGGGAGGATGACAGTATCACCAAGCAAAGGGGAGGGAGGAGAGAAAACCCAGAAACCATTCTAAAGAAACAAAAATTTTTCTTTTTAATGGTTAATAAAATGGGTGATTTTAATTTTTTTTTATTTTATTTCCCTAATCTGGAGACCTAACATTGTATGTGCTGTGGGAGACCTGAGGAGGCCAAGAATCAGTGCTAGTCAGAATCACCCAGTGCAGGGCAGGCATGGCCAAATCACTGCTGGAAATGCAACTTCTGCATCCCAAACATCACCTGAACACCATGCAGAGGAGTTTCACAGGCTGTCTTCATGGCACATGGGTGTTTATCTACTTATAAAATGTAAATTTTTGGGTTGCAGGATTTCCCTAGGTGTTGATTAAATCCCTCACAGCACGAAATCAGCTCCAATGACAATGTGGACGCAGCAGCCTGGTCCTCATCCTTCCAAAAATCACAGCTATGTGAATCCCAGCAGCGGAGGGGTTAGTTATTGTCTTGCCAAACTGCACTGGTAAAGAAAAAACCCTATTTTGGGCATTTTCTAGGTGTAGCCAGTTGAAACCCAGTTGAAAGAGCCTCCCCACAGTTCAGGTTTGGATGAAAGCTGCTGCTGCAGTGGGCTAAAGGGAGGTCTCCTGTTCAGCTGCCTTTCTGAATTGGGCTTTGCAAGCCTGTGACAAAGCATGGCACTATCAGCAGACAAAAACTTAATTTTTTTTTTAAGACTTTGGGGGCAGACCCACAGGGCCCCACTGCCTGTTGAGGAAGGGGCACTTGTGGTGGGAATGTGCTCAAAGATGATGGAATGGCTTGGGTTGGAAGGGACTTCTCAAGGCCATCTAGCCTAACCCCCTGCAGGGAGCATGGACATTTGCAACCAGAGCAGGTTGCTCAGAGCCCCGGCCAACCTCCCCTGGAATGGTTCCAGGGATGGGGCAGCGACCACCTCTCTGGGCAGCCTGGGCCAGGGGCTCCCCACCCTCAGCAAAACAAATTTGTTTCTTATGGTGAATTTGGCACTTGACGTTGAAAAGATGCTTTATAAAGGATTTTTTTTTCCTCTTAAAATAAATGTAAAATTTAAATGTTGTGTGTCATGTAAGCCTGAGCTTCATCAGTGCCTAATGGCACATCTGATTATCGAAACCAGAAGGACTTTGATGCACCCAATTAGCTTCTCATTGTTAATATAGTGGGTTTTCCGCTTTAAGAAAAAAAGGAAACCTTTAAAGCCACTTTCTTTTTTATTTATGGCTACTTTTTCTTTCTCCTCCTAATACACATGCTCAGTACTGTAAGCCTAGGAGGGGTGAAATTTTCAACAGTTTACTTCCAATACTTAGGTTAAAATAATCTGAACTTCAGGGCTGGATTTTTAAATAAGCCTAATGAGTTTAGTCTTAGATGTTACTAGAGTTCAAAGCAACTGGATTGCATGACCTCTTTTTAAAAGCCACTGTTCATACATGGGGGGATTTTCAAAAATACTTATGGCCCAGATAAAGAAAAATAAATCAATCACAGTCTCAGATCCCTAAATACTTTTGCTAAGTGTGCAGCAAGGGATCGAAACCCTTGGAAATCAGTGGAAGTAAAGCATTCAAGCATTTTGGGGCAAGAGTGCCTACGTAGCTGAGTTCAGTGTGCTGGGAAGGGTTTTCTGAAGGCACACGTGGTAGTTAGGCTTGTGTATGACACAGTTGTAGAAACTCATTCCTGTGAAGGTTCTTGGTACTGCTATTGCTTGTTCAGTATGGGAAGAACAATCTATAGCACTGTAAAGCTGCTTTGTACTAGTCTGAATGTGACCATAGGAGAGACACTTGGAAAATAATTATATTGATTTTTTTTTAAATCATACTCCTAAGTGGTATTTATACTTGTCAAAGGTATGTAGAGGTTAGCCCAACCTTAAGTCTTCTTGAAATACCGAAGAAATGGCACAATTAAATCTTCTTTTCAGCTTGGAAAACCTCAGCCTGTGTCTCAGTAGTGCTGGCACTGTGTGGTTGTGCCCACAGGTGAGTGACCCCTTGTCCCTGCTGCCAGCTTGGCTTTTGCATTTGGGTGGAAGAACAGCATAGGAGGGGTAGTGGTCATCTCCCATCCCGGCCCCAGCAAGCCGTGGTGTTAGAAAGGTTTTCCTGGTAATTAACCCCCATCCTTCTGTCTATACCTTAAACCCATTCCTCTTGATCTGGCCAGCATGGACAGAGCAGATTGCTTCCCTCAGCTCCAGTGACACCTTGGGGACACCCTTATCAAGAGCTCAACACTCTCCAACTTCTTCTGATTCCAGGGCTTTCAGCTCCAGCAATGAGCTGCAGGGGTACTGGGGGTACCATGACTCTGTAAGGCCAAGGCTGCTTGACCAGCTCTGATTTTCTCATGTCAGCTCCTGCATGAACATTGAAAGGCTGAAGGAAGGCATGTAGGAGAAAGGGCTGTTGGGTGTCCGTGTGATTCCCCATCTGCCTTTCTGCTGTAAGGTGTTTGTAGAAGGCAAGTATGTAAGATATTTACTGAGAGCTGGCACAGGGCATTGCCATAAAGGGGCTTAAAATGGGACACACTGGAACAAGAATGGTGGGAAGGGGGTGAAGGTATCAATGGCAGTAGTGAAGGTGGCACCGAGCTGTGCCATGCCAGGACAGACCACCGAACACAGTCTGGTACTGGTGACAGCAGCAGCCAGGGCACAGAAACTGAGCAAAGTCTTTGGGATGACAATGGTGGAAGAAGGTCCTAGTGCCTCGCAACACCAATGAAATTATTTTAATTACCTTGGGAAATGGCCCTTGCTTGCAAACCCTTTTGTCTTCAGGGCACAGGAAGGTCCCAGGACTCTGCCTCCTTGGGAATGGAGTGAGATGTGTTGGCATGGGTAGCCAGGAGGGGATGTGGCTCAACACCTTCAGTAGAATTGGGTGTCACAAAGTTGAGCAGGCGCTGAGCTCTTTTCCTAACCCATCAAGACATCCCGAGGTGGAAATGATTCCCTCTTGGGTTAAACTGCAATTTCAGATCCCCTTCTCTTTGGACTCCTTGGAACCTCTGCTCTGCTGTGATTTTATGAAGATCTTGGCAAGGGTGCAGGCAGCCAGTGAGCTTGGTCCCAGGGTCCTAGCCAGATTACCAGGTGATCCCCCATTTTGTTTTACCCCGTCAGGGGCTTTTTTAAGTTAAGACTGAGGAGAAGGAGCATCATCGTGTTGTTTATACAGCACCAAGTGATAATTAGTGGCTCCTATAGTCCAGAAAATGCTGAAGATAAAGAGCCAGCAGATAAATGAGCCCACGGTAACACAGGATCCTGCTGCACTAATGGATTTCTGTCACTGAGACATTTCTAGCAGCCCAAAAAGGGTGATAAGGATCAAACCAAAGAATTTAAAGCTCCTGGTTACTGCGCACAGATTTGTTTTGCCTGACAATTTTTAAAGCCCTGCACAACCAATGTTCCTGCTTCCCCCTTGGTTCTCCTTTAAGAGAGGACAAGAAAACTTCCATCATCTTCTCCTCACTCTCTCCCCTTTCTGGCTGTGATTTTTCTTCATTAGTTCCCAAACAACCCTTTCTCCACTGTTTTTCTTTTAAGACTGGCCCAGCTTAAGACATTCTTCATCATGGCTTCAATAGCATCCGCCAGACACTGTGGGCTTGTTTTCTGCATACGAGTGGTGGGATGGTGGGTCCCCATCACCTTCAAGACAGGTGTACCATGAGCATCATCTCAGTGTGGACCTTCCCTTGCCCATCAGCCAAACCCCTCTGGATGGGTCCCCCTGAGACTGTCAGTGTAGCAAAACGGGTGCATTGGTTTAGAGCCAGCTCCTGTGAAAGAGGCCTTTTGACTGCCTGGCAATTTTCATTCTAGAGTCATAAGAATAATTTGTTTTCTTTCACTTTTGGCTACCAAAATTGTTTGGTCTCAAAATAAAACAAAGGATTATTGGTTTTGGCTTCTACACCATGAAAAATAAGCTTGGTTGGTGAAAAGAGCTTGATTTAGAGAGAGCAAAAGTCAAACAAGAAATTGGATAAATGAAAAAAAAATTCACCAAAGGTTTAATTCAATATTAATAAAAACAAGAAACTAAAACCACAACCTAAGGTAGGGTTTTAAGAGCCACATTAGATATTAAGCTTCCTTTGTTTCATTGTCAAAAGTGATGAGGTCTGATCTAAAATGGCATTTGCAAGCCAAAACCTGGCTGACCTTCCAGTAAGGCTTTGAGCTCCTCCAAGCACCCTGGTCCCTTCTGGACATCTAAAAACTCTGCACCTGCTTGTTTTTTTGAACAGAGACCCTGCTAAACCGCAGGCCCATGGAAGGCAGCAGCCAAGCTGCAGGCAGTGTCAGTAGGGCCAGGTTGCTGTTCACAGGTGCCTTTTCTGGTGGGACCCATCACCTCATCTCTGAGAGAAGAAAGAAAACCAAGCAATGGTAAAAGAAAAAAAAAATAAACCAGAACAAATCATGTTTCAGCACAACTATTTTTTTTTTTTTTTCCTGTATTTCCCCCCTCCCTACTGATAGGTAAAAAAAATATATATTATATTATATTTTCCTTTTCTTAAATTATTTTTTTTGTCCTCCTCCTCAGTCCCAGCCGAAGTCCTGCCCCGTCATCTGGTAGAACTTCATGTTGAAGGGCCGGTAGAAGTCCCGCAGTCTCTGCACCACCTCCTGGTCTATGTCGGGGGG